AGGCCAGCAAGGCAGCTATTAGCTAGCCAACACTTTTGTGCAAATTCCAAAATGGCAAATAAATTCCACAACTGAGATTTCCTTCCATTTCAGAGTTCCTCAACTGACAGTCTCACTGTGGCAACTTTACACAGTCAGACATGGAAACCCCCACATGATTCTACAAGACTACGTTTTCTTATTCCCTTCTACCAAACCAGAAGGCAGGCTAAAGTGATTTGGAAGTATCCTATATAATTCTATATGATAAAGAGGTAACATGCAAATTGACCATCACTCCAACACACAAGATGGCTATCCCAATGTGGACACAAGATGGCCACCACAAGATGGCCAGCAGGGGAGGGCAGTTAGGGGCAACCAGGCCTGCAGGAGAAGGCACTTAGGGGCAACGAGGCCAGCAGAGGGGGCAATTAGGGGTGACCAGGTTGGCAGGGGAGTGGTTAAAGTTGATCAGGCTAGCAGGCCGAAGCAGTTAAGGGCAATCAGGCAGGTAGGCATGTAAGCAGTTGGGAGCCAGCAGTCCTGGATCGTGAGAGGGATGTTCAACTGCCCATTTAGACCCAATCCCACCAGAATCCCAGATTGTAGAGGGTGCAGGTTGGGCTGAGGGACATCCCCACCCCATGTGCATGAATTTCATGCACCAGGCCTCTAGTCTATGAAAAGAAAGAGTACAAGTGGCTTGTATATGCAGCACCAGGGAGAAAAGAAAAGAAATAAACAAAAACATAGTTATAAGAGTTTCCAAACAGGGCATAGATTGTGAAGGGATAAGGGACATACTGGAATTAAAGTATTCATTTATACTTAATAATTTTCTAACCCTTCTTACCAACTAGTTGGCTATTTTAAAGAATTCAAGCCTACAACCCAAATCTTTCTTTCTTTGTCTTTTGTTTTCCCAACGTGGATTATAGAAATACTAGAGGCCCAAAGCACGAAATTCACCAAAGGGCTCAGCCCTCGAAGCCCCTTTTGTCCTCGGACAGCCCTAGCATCCCCAGCTTGGTCTGGAAGGTCAGCCAAACAGTCATTCTGCTGTTTGGTCTAATTAGGATATTAGCTCTTTATTATATAGGATTTGAATATAACTATAGCATATACCCTGTTTCCCCGATAATAAGACAGTGTCTTATATTAATTTTTTATCCCAAAGTTGCGCTAGGTCTTATTTTCAGGGGATGTCTTATCTTTCCATGTGCTAGGTCTTATTTTCGGAAGATGTCTTATTTTCAGGGAAACACGGTATTACTATTTATGATTTTGCAATGTTCAATGACGCATAGTAATATATATTTCACATATATTATAAATAATACAGGGGTAGGCAAAAGTAATACAAATAAATAATGCAATAATTAATAAATAACAATACAAGAATAAACTATTTCACATACAACTGTAGACCTACTTTTGCCACCTCTGTATATAAAGTATATTTCTAATGCTTGATGGCCCATAATTATATTTTACTATAATTTTGGAGGGCCAAAATATTAGATAAAATTTAGTATTATAGAAGCTGTAACAAGTAGAGAAGAATATCAAATGGATTTATTAAGAAATTAAACTTGTTTTCTGTTATATATACTCTTGTAATAACCTCCATCTAACCTGTTCTTTTCTCCTCTCTAGTTACTTGTTCTTCAGCCAGGAAACCAAGTTCATCACTTTGTATCAAAACTGGATGATGTGTTGACATAATAAACTGTGATTATATCTGAATTCAGCTTAAGATTGTATATGAGAAAGTTAAGATTGTAATAGATTTATTGTGCTGTTCAATAAGCAACAACTCTAGGAGTGTCACTACACAGACTAAAAGCTAGTCAACCAAATCTTTTCAATGTAAATTTTTGCAACTATACACACCCTGAAGAAAAATGTTATGAGGCTACACATGTTATTAAACTTTTAGCACTTCTGTACATAATTTCATAAAAAATGTGGTAAAGTTAACATTATTAAATGTGGTTCTATTTAATATACATAATAATTTCAGAAACATTTTTTCCTAGATCTGAAATATTATGCACCATATAAATGTAAAAGTATATTCTTTTTTAAAATATATGTTATTGATTTTGTACAGAGAGGAAGGAAGAGAGATAGAGAGTTAGAAATATCGATGAGAGAGAGTCACCAATCAGCTGCTTCTTGCACACCCCCTACTAGGGATATGCCCGCAACCAAGGTACATGCCCTTGACCGGAATCGAACCTGGGACCTTTCAGTCCCCAAGCCTATGCTCTATCCATTGAGCCAAACCAGTTTCGGCAAAAATGTAAAAGTATATTCTGTAGATGAAAACTTAAATTATGAATAAGACTTTTAAAAATATTTCATGACAAAACCACTTGGGAAAAATCTCTTTTACTTTATACCTAAAGAATTGTTAAAAGAATTCTTTCAGAGTAAGTTAGAAAGTTCTGTGGAATTAAGAGGTCTAGCTAAACAATCTTTTCTTTGAAAGACTAAGTCCCCTCCCCATGCCTTTCTCTTAAAAACACGTTTTAGAAAAAGTACTCATGTTAGAAAAAAGTGAGCTGAAGTCTGTCAGTTCCTGTGGTGCCCAATAATCAATAACTTGCATTAAACTAGGTTTCTGTAACACTTATCAGTGACTCCATGCCAAGAAATTCATCTTCAAGGGAAAAGCAAAAGGTAGGTTCTCATCATTGATGTTTCTATCTCTCTCCCTCTCTCTTCTTCAATTCTGTATAAGAAAACATTTTCTGTCAGTATGTCCAAAGGTAAGATAGAAAACCCAGTGAAGTAACAAATTCTTAACACTGGAAGTTTGAGAATACATCTGGCTTTAAATACTTGGTGAGAAAGTGCTTGAATGAATTTCAATGTTAAATAATTCAAATTGTATTCAAATGGTGCATCATCAATAAAACAGGCAGCCAACAACATCAGGTAATAATTACTTGTGTGAAATACTATTGTTCATTATGTAGGTACAACCCCATTTAACTATAAGGAAAAATATGACATGTAGGAAAGATCAGATATGACAAAGAATTTCTTTTGTGTTTCCTTTGTTAGAAATTGTCCTTTCAGAAGGTCAGTAGTATGCTGAGTATTATGAGTTGAAACCTCTTTAGAAATTATGGTTTTAAATTTTCTTCAAAATAGATATAACAACTCTTATTTCATTCAATAGCTGCTGCAATTGATGATGGCTAAAATACCTCCCCTTATTGAAATGTCAATGTGACCCTCCACATACAGTGTTCCATAAAAACTTGTTTTGCTGTATTGACTTTTCATGGAAATTTTGAGCTGCAGTATAACTTAGGAGGAATAAAGGTGTCTCCTTTCTGAAAAGCATACTGTAAAAGGGATTAGCAGTGAGTTCTCAGAAATTCTATATAACTTTTTAAAAAATGAAATAAGTCTTAATTAACATGTTAGATAAACCAGCTTAGATAAAGCAATAAGAATTCTTCAACCTGGCTGGTGTGGCTCAGTGGTTTAACATCAACCTAAGAAGTAGGAGGTCAGGTTTGATTCCTAGTCAGGTCACATGCCTGGGTTTTGGGTTTGACCCCTGTTTGGGGGCATAATGTTTCTATTCTCTCTCCATCTCCCTTCTTCTCTCTGAAATTAATTTTTAAAAACCTTTTTAAGAATTAAAAAAAGAATTCTTCAAAAGGAAATTATAAATAAACTGTCTAGGATGTAAAATTTTAAGCATGCTAATCCAAAAACAATATAGGATAGCAAGCACAGTAATCTGTGTTAGATAGAAATTTTAAGGATAGAGTTAGAACACTATACTGGTGGCAGAGTACTGGAATAAATAGAACACTGCTTGGCATAAATGAATGTATCCCACAATATTAGTACCTAGATCACAGACTTACAGACACTATCTCACTCTCAGAACCACACTTGCAATAACATACCAGTTAAAAGGTGAATAGCCAAGAAAATATATTTGGAAAAAGGAAATGTTATTTTGATATACTATATTATGTCCACATACAAACCAATTGTATATGGTTTTTCTGCAGTGTGATTTCATTAACACCAATGTACCATTTAATAATTAGTATAGAATATTATTGGTAAGAGTAGAGTAAATAATTTTATTAGTATCAATGGTCAGCACTGCAACCACCAAACACATTCCAAGAAGTATTGAGATCTTCAGAAATTACATTCTCTAAATGCCATTGTTCTCCTACATAATGCTGTTATGTTATAGTCTTTTCTGCACTATGAAAATCAGAAAATGCCCTCTAAAATATATTTAGAAAAAGTGGGGAGGAAATAGGTACCATTTTACAGAATCCATATATTTTGAAAATTAGCTACATTTTTCTTAAGTTATTTCTTCATATCTATAAAACTGACAAAAGAGATCTCTAACTTACTCATTTCAGGAAATTGCTGAGACATCAAAGAGTATATGCCAGTAAAAGTCACATAGTATTTGAACTTGATGTTGTAAATTTGACTTTTAGGAGAAGGCAGGTGAGAATTAGAGTAAAGAATATTTCACCATAGTAAGAAAACCTAGACTCAAACTCTAGTTCTGCCCCAGAGTAGCTGTGTGATTTTCCAACAAAGCATGCACTCTTCCTGGATTTCCAATGCCTACCTATAAAATGTGAAATATTTAGATGAACTATTCAACATAGCATAATTAAGAATCTGAGCTTTTTACAGAATATCACAGGTGGTGCCAAACTCTTTTCCCTCCAGATTTTTTTCAGCACAACAATTACTTAAAATCGAAGGACCCTGAAGCTGTTTCCAATGCCATGTGTCCATCTTTATAGATTTTAATCAAACAGTAGTGGGGCTAGTCAAGGAGAAACACAACTTAACAAGCTTTGGTACAGCCTTAATTAAATGATAAATGCATATCAAAGTAACTCTGATCAAATTCCACTTGCTTTAAATTAAAAAAAATAGAAACCTTTCATATTCTTTAGACATTAAGATGCATTTCCAATACGCATTATAAACGCCATTATCCATACCTGAAAAGGCTGCCTGCTGGGAATGTGGAGGTCTTTCCTTATCCACCTGTTGCCTTGATCCCCAAATATCTGCCACAGCAGCTTCCCCCTGCTGTTACTCCAGATTCGCTGGTAGATGGCCAGCCTGTAAATGTGCTTTCCGAACATGTGGTAATAGAAGCGGAAGGTGCAGCTTTCTGTTCCAGTGGCACTGAGGATCGGGCTGAGTAAAGCAGCTGTGTTTTGGAAAGCTTGTGGCTCCGAAGATTCTATGTAGAGATAGTGTCCTTTAGCTGTGCCCAAAGTATTATCCTTCATTGGCCCTGTATTAAGTGTTGATGTTGGACCCTGGTTCCTGGTCCAATCAAAATCATCTTCTGTATCTTGTTCCCAATTACAAATTCCATTTTCAAAGTTACATTGTAGTTCAGGTACTAAAATTGGCAGTAAATAATAGCAAAAGATAATTAAAGATAAAAATATCTCTGATTAATAATACTAGCTGATATTAGTAAGCAATTTAATCTAAAAATGTGACAGTAACGTTTTAAAAAGAGTGAACAAGTTCTAGATAACACACCAAGTAATAATATTTTATGGGCTGAAAGTGAAATTATTTTGGTCATTTTCCATATGCCACTTATGCCCATCCCTTCCCCATTTCTATTACTATAACTCTAGGCAAATGATCACAACTCAACAGCTGGCTCACTGCAACAAACTTCTGGCTCAGTGGATTTCAATTTTAGCTGAATGTTCCAATCCAGTGAGCATTAAAAATAAATAAACAAATAAATAAATAAATAAATACATAGAAAACACAAAACCCAGAATTCATCTTCAAAAATGTTGGTATATTTGGTCTAAATGATAGAGCCAATCATCAGGATACCTCATCAGTTTCCTTGATGATTCTAACATGCAGAGCTGAAAATAGTCATATTTTAATAGACGTTAATTTTTTGGACTTCTCTGTGGTTTAAGGTAAAATTGCCTTAAACAAATTGCAAAAAAGCCTATCCAAGTACTAGTTTGTTAGTTACAGGTGAATCCCAGGAATCCGTGTTTTTAACAAGCACCCACGATGATACGAAGCAGATATTTTCCAGACCTCACGCTGAGAAACTGCTCTTGGGCTTCATCCTGCCCCAGTTCCAAGTGTCCCTTCCATCCCTGTGCCAGAATGACCATTCTTTAATGACAGTTTATCTCTTTCCTGCTCCAATCAAAATCCTTGAATACATACTCATTTAACTTAAACTTAAATCTACACTCCTCTTATCTTCAAGCTTCACGTTTCCCAAATTAAATGAACTTCCTGTTTGTCCTTCCCAATGAGCCCTAAGCATTCCACCCCTTTCCCCATCTCTATGTATGCCAAGTGTTACGCCCTGTGTCTTACTAATTCTTAGCTATGTCTCCTCAGTGGTCATCTTTTCTACTTACTGGATGGTAGCTCCTTTAAACCGGAGCTTTGAAACTTCTAATGCCTTCACTCACTAGAATTCAAAGCACTTACTTATGAAATACTAGCCCCTTATCAAATTAATACCTACATTTCTAGGATAACATCAGAATATACATATTTTTCAAGATGTGAAAATTGTGTCAACACCAAGTATTTCTTTAGAATAAATGAGACAGAATGTACATTTGACATTATTTGGAATTAGAATTAATGTTTTGTTTCACATTTTAGCTTAATTTACATAATCTAATATTTTAAAAAAATGTCAGCTGTCCTTTATTCAACTGTACTTGGCATCAAAGGTGAACAAATACTCAAACAATAAATAAAAGCATATGTGAATAAATGCAGCCAGGCAAGAACAAATCATCTGTATCTGAAAACTAGAGAACAGGGCTTAAACCTAATGAAGGGAGCCAAGTGAATAAATATCAAATGGAAGAAGAGCTTTCATTTGATATTTCCTCACTTGTGACTAATCAGGCCCAGCTGTGATGTGAACTGGGGGCCGATGGTGTACTTTCCAGGTGTCAGTCTTTGGCTATAGAGAAGAAGGAGAATGTCAAGCTGCTGAGTTTTTTGACAGAAAGCCAACAGATTTGTATGTTGCCTGTCTTCATACTGACTACATGCTCAGTCTTCATTTCAAAAGGGAATATGTGTAGCTAGACCCTTAAAAAAGACCATGACACTAAACATACTTCAGGAAATACAGTGAGGATTTAGAATGGCTAATGTATTCTATGTAGTACAGTAATATGTCTAGATGGACTGCTGAGAGAGCAACTGACAGTCTAATGACACTATTTTCTGTCATTAATATTTATTCACAAGAAATTTATTGATATTTTATGAAGTTAACAACTACTGTTTTCTGTCATTAATATTTAGTCACAAGAAGTATATTGATATTTTATGAAGTTAATACTGACAAGTTTGAGGATAATTTGATTACTTTTAGATAGAGAACACATTTTTAAAAAATCTTCACCCAAGGATATGTCCTTGTTGTTTTGAGAGAGAGAAAGAGAAAGAGAAAGAGAGAGGGAGGGGAGGGAGGGATGGGACTGGGAGGGAGCGGAGAGGTAGTAGGGAGAAATGGCGGAAGAAGAGATAGAGCTAGAATAGGCGAGGCAAGAGCGATACGACGTAGTAATCCGATTATTCCGCTGTTCGTTCAGGTCTCCTCCTGCGGCCCGTCCATCTCCTCCTCTACTCCACCCTCCATACCGCTCGAAGCAGCCCAAGACCCACTCAGACCATACCCCTCCCCCCATCCCACCTCACCCTCCTAAGAAAAAGAAAGAAAGAGAGAGAACAATTGATTGGTAGGCTTTCATATGCATCTGGACTGGGACTCAAGCCCAGAACCTAGGTATGTGCTTTGACCATAAACTGAACCCACAACATTTTGGTGAACCATACAGGATGATGTTCTAATCTAAGCCACCCAGACAGGGCAAAATTTTTAAAGAGTGGAATTTGAAAAGCTTGAAAAAGATAAAAAGACTTTCTGAATTTGCAAAAATTAATTAGATGTAGGACAAGCAGCACTTCTTATAATAGCCATTGTTAAAAGCATTGATTTTGTTTATAAGGATACTTCCAAATCACTTTAGCCTGCCTTCTGGTTTGGTAGAATTGAGTAAGAAAACGTAGCCTTGTAGACTCATGTTGGGGTTGCCATGTCTGATTGTGTAAATTTGCCACAGTGAGACAGTCAGCTGAGGAGCTCTGAAAGGGGAGGAAATCTCAGTTGTGGAATTTATTTGCCATTTTGGAATTTGCACAAAAGTGCTGGCTATGCTAATAGCTGCCTTGCTAGCCTCTTCTTTATAAGGAAGTATTTAAGTATTTAAGTATACTTGTGCTCATGAAATTTCAAGAGCTACATAATCATCAGACATAATTTTTTTTATAATTTAAACCATAAACTCAGACTTATCTTTGACACCTTACTCTGTGCTCCCTATTGCCAAAACCTCATCACATGTCCCTCCTAAATATTTCCCAAAACTTTAATCCCTCTATCTCCATCCTTATCTCTGTGACAAGCTGCCAACTCCTCTCCTGCTGACTACCGCTATGGCTTCCTAACGGATCGCCTACATATAGTCTTCTCTAATCCATTTATAACACACCATATTCATAGTGACATTTTCAAATATGCCAATTTTATTATATTAGTTTTCTTCTTAAAAACCTTCAAATAAGGAAGAACTTCCCTAACATGGACTAAAAAGACCTGGAAATCTGGCTGCCCTTTATACCTCTCTCCTTACCTTGCACCCTATTCCTTCCTTCTCCTTGCACAAGCCACACATTAGCTATCTTCCTCTGCCATGCGGTGACATAGGGGACTTCTTCATTCTTTGACTTAACATTTTTCAGATCTCAGCTAAGTAATCACTCTTGGAAGTCCAATGCCGCTATTCCCTCAAGTCACATAACCCCTATTTGTAAATCTTGTCAAAACTTCCATTTTATATTTGTTTATTAAATATTTGAATAATATCTCTCCTCATCTAGTCCTTAAGCCCCATGAAACCAAGGAAGCTGTATAGTTGTATTTAACATTGTATCACTAGTATTTAATTTCTAAAACTACATAATACATACAGATGGCTTTGACTAACTGATTAATTAAAGCGCACAAAACATTCATTGACCCTGGAACGATGTTTAGTGTCTTTGACTTGACTGGGTCAAGAACAGTAAATTTAAGTACGATCACTACTATCAAATGTGGGAGAGGGACAAAAATATACCTACCACAGTCAGCCTCATCAGTATGATCACCACAATCATCCACCAGATCACATAACCGAAGCCTGTGTATGCAGGCCTTAGTGTGTCCACACCAGAAATGATCTGGCCCTTCACAGCTCTCCGCAGGAAGAGGAAGGGTACAGTTTTCAAAACTGATGTCATCAATAGCTGAGACCCCATCATAAATGCCAAGGCTGACTTTTTCTAGAGTCAGATGGAAGGGGTGAGTGAGGCGCCCAAGCTGAATAGTTGCCTGTGACCACTGGTTGCCCTGGTTATATAAGACTCTCCAGAGCACTGTGGAGTCATTGGAATTTTCCAAGTGTAGCTGGAGCACAGCTGCTCCCACTGACAGGCCATAGTTATAAAACCTGGAAAAGAGTAAACAAAAGAAATGGGTATTATTTACGGGGATAGACTACATATTTAACTTTTACTCCTTCACTCAGTCAACAATAAATATCAATAATTAATCATCTTAATAGAAGCCTTTATTTCTTGCAGCAATTGTGGCTGCACCTCTGCAAAACTTATATGCTGAGGTGCACACTCTGACTCTCGGGACCCTACAAGCGTTTCTCAAGGAGTTTAGTCCAGAACAGAAGAGAGAAGCAGTGTTGATTAAGTTATAATCTACTGCTGAAGGGAAAATGTCCCTTTCATCTTAAGAAAGAACACAACAAACACTGATAATTAGCTCTTAAGTAAACTGCTAATTATGTGGAGCTAATGCAATAGCAATTTTTAAAAGCAAAACCAAGGGTGAATCATAATATCTACTAAATGCAGGAGTATGCCTGCAAGCAAGGCACTGCTAAGGTAACTAACCACTGTTTGTAATATTTACCAGAAAGAAAGTGTGCATCCTGTTCCTGTCTGGTTGATAGTTGGACTCTGGAGTTTAGCAACTTGGGCCAAGCTGCTGCTTTTCTTCAGAATGAACATAAAATGCCCTATTGGTATACAAAAACAAGTATACATTAGCCTATTAGATTATAAAGTGAGACATCTGTCGCTTAGCCCTACACTAAATAAGTTCCATGTCCAACTAAAATTAAACAATTAAAGACCATACAACAATTAAAAATCAATGAAAGTGCCGAAACCGGTTTGACTCAGTGGATAGAGCATCGGTCTACAGACTGAAGGGTCCCAGGTTCGATTCCGGTCAAGGGCATGTACCTTGGTTGCGGGTGCATCCCGGTGGAGAGTGTGCAAGAGGCAGCTGATCGATGTTTCTCTCTCATCGATGTTTCTAACTCTCTATCCCTCTCTGTTCCTCTCTGTAAAAAATCAATAAAATATATTAAAAAAAATAAAAAAATAAAAGTTAATGAAAGTGATTGGTAGTCAAATTCGCTCTTATAAATATTAAACTATGATCTATATCAAGATCTAAAGGATGTCAAAACAATTGGTAATTTAAATTAACTCAGCAAAAAATATATATATCTATGCTCTATTCCCACCATCCATAAAGGAGTAATCCCATGCAGACATCATGAATGTAACTGATCATGCTCAAATGCCCTACTATTTGTTGTGGTAACAGAGAGTGTGATCTGCTTCTCTTTCTCTTCTCAGACCTGACCAAAGGGGAACTGAGGTCATTCCCAAGAGCCTTTGCTTATTTCTTACCTTGAGCAGATTTGTGAGTATGATCATAGGGAGGGGCCTGTTGCTCAAAATCAGCAGAAAGGTTACTTCTGGAGCTCCATATCCAGTCAAAATGGTCACCGCTAACTGCTTCAAACCAACCACAGCTATTTGCTTCAAAGTCACATTTGGAAACTGAAGAACAAAAATGTGGCTTTTAGGTTGGCTCTCAAAAATGCTTGCACACTTTACAAAGGGTAGAGTTCAATGGAAATCACCTTGTTAGTCTTCTCTAAGTCTATCAAAGAACATACTTTAGGAGAAAAAGGAACTCTTTTGACTCCCCCCCCCAAAAAACACACAAAACAAAACAAAACAAAACAAAAAAACCCTGGAATTGTGCTTATCATACTGAAAATTGATAAGGTAGAATTATCAATTTTAAAAATTCAATTTTCCCCAAATATTCTAAGCAGCATCAACATCCAGCCATATTGTTAATAGAATTGCCAAAGTCTGCCTAATTTATTCTGATACTCATGTTAGTTTATCTGCTGCTATTATATCATCTGGAAGGCTGAATTATTCCTATAGAGTATTTTCACTAAACCATGAGAGCAGCTACTTCTAAAATAGGGGTGTCGAACTCAATCAGAGAAGGGGCCAAAATCTAAAATCCAGCCTAAATTGCAGGCCGAATGGTTTACTGAACAGTCATAAACTGTCATTGTGATGGAAACGCAGCGGAGTGCAGTGATGACAGCGCGGTGCGGGCCACATTGCAAGGCCTGGCGGGACGGATTTGGCCAGCGGGCCTTGTGTTTGACACATGTGTAAATATTCAGTAACTGAAAAATGTAGATCCATTGCATTTAGTTAATGTTCACCTCTGGATTTAATAGAACTTAATACTTCCTAAAGCATTATATGCATTGCTTAATTTGTGCAGGGTAAAATAATTTTAAACAGTTTTCAGGTAAATATGCAGAAGAATAAGTTGGCTTCCAGAAAGAAGAGGAAAGAAAGGGAAGTTATAATAATAACAGTATAGTATCATAGCTAATGTTCAGTGAATACCCTATGTAATAGATCCTGAACTACTGAATGCTTTATCTAGATCTAACTTTCACATCAGCCATATGGGGAAGTATTACTATTATTACTATTATGATTATTATTATTTAAAATAATATGTCACTCAATGAAATTTTAAAATTTAAAACAATAAAGGCATTTAACCTAGTTATAAATCACTTTTAATTTCACTATAAATTTTGAAAATGTTAATTCTACTCAAGGGAGAATATGAGGTAAATAGTAACATTATAAATACTACTTTCTAATTTTAATAGTTTCTATATAAATATTATTTCCAAAATACATTTGTTTTATGTCAAGTTTCCTAGCTGAAAATCTGTCCAGCAGAGTACTTTCTAATTTCATCAAAAGTCAACAGGAGGGGACCACTTTGTAAATTAATATGATTGTCTAACCATTACAGTGTATACCTGTAAATAATATAAAGTAATATGTAATGTTAACGATAATGGGGGGGAAAAGCAATTAGAATATATAAATACATTTAAAAATAAACATTTTTAAAATGTTGCCTAAACTTTAATAAACAAGGGATGATGATATGCCAATACACATACAGAGACACTTAGAAATAAGCAAAATGAAGAAAGTACTGCTATATTTATAATACAAATTTCTCAAGTAAAATTTAGAAATCTATGGTTAAGCATATTTAAATGCTTAGAAATCTATGGTTAAGCATAATTGAAGTGAGAAAAATGACAAATATAACAAGTCAAGAATAAGTGCTAAGAATATTTAAGTTCACATTTTTAAAGGCCATCTCTATTTGTGAATATAAAATATACCAATAACACATAAATATACATAAATTCCAGAGATTTCAAAGTATGGAATGTCATTTCAATCCCTGAGGAAGCAAATGTTTTTGTTGCCAATTTCAGACAATCTTCAAAAAACAGTTCTTGTATACAAATACAGAAAGAAAACTAAATATTACTAATGTATAATATTTATCCCCATAGCTACTTGGAAAGGGGATCTTGTCATTTGCTATCCAGGGAGATATTGCTTTGGAAATAAATGGATATTCAAATGGTAGTAAAATTTAAAAACTATAGCAACAATTTTATAGTTCTCTTACATAAAGCTCTTCAAAAATAGTAATTTCAACAGATGATTATGCTGTTAAATTTCAAATATGTTGTAGTATATTTTGTTCCTACATATTTAGATTTCTATACACATTTTAAAATCCACCTCAAGTGATAACATATGTAGTAATCAGATGCAATTAGCCATTAATCAAACAAACTTCATTAGAATGGCTTTTGAAAATTATGTATATCTTTTTCTGACAGAAACACAATATCCTGGGTGTGTTTTAATAATTGAGATTTGAGAATTTTTCACTGTTTCAGGAGCATCATTATTGATTATTTCAATTTTTATCATCATTATTACCACAATTTGTAATAACAATTGCAATTACCATTTACTCAGGTATTATTATGTACCAAGTTTTGGGCTAGAAGTTATTATCTTCGTAACAGGATGCCAACACAGAATTTCTAAAAATTACACACCACTATTTTATAGCTATGAGTAGAAAAGCAAATGACTCTATAGCAGCTTTCAATTATTTTATGTAAAATCACCCTTGGGACCTCAATTAGTTATGTAAAAATAATTTCAGTAGCTAACCTGGGGGGAAAGATGTTAGGGTTAGTTGGTGGATGACAAATAGTTCCATCACTCAACACTTTTTTTTGTCATTTTTAGAGCTTTGTCACTCAAGCAAAGGAGAGTTAGGCATGGAGGAGCCAAGGAATCGTGTGAGGTTAAAAAAAAAAAAATCCAGAATCAGACATTGTCTCATTTCATATTCACTGTCTTATAACTTTTTTGATGATTTCAGATTATCCTTACAGAGGTTCATTTGTAGGGATAAACACAAACTGGACAAAGAGGAAGTCTGGACTGATAATATGGACCTTGCAAAAAGACTTAAAATATACAGGAAGAGCCTCTTAACATTTACCCAAAGATATTGAAAAGGTTTTATATGTCTATAAAAAAGTGCAAATGAGTGCTTATAGAAGCTTTCTTCATTATTGCCAAAACTTGGAAGCAACCAAGATGTCCTTCAGTAGATGAGTGGATAAAGAAATGATGGCACATCCAGACAATGGAATATTATTCAGTGCTAAAAAGATATAGGCTATCAAGCCATGAAAAGACACAGATGAAACTTAAATGCATATTAAGTGAAAGGAGTCAAGCTAAAAGGCTACATACTATATTACTCCAATTATGACATTCTGAAAAAGGCAACACTATGGAGACAGTCAAAATATCTGTGGATGTCAGCAATTCTGGGTGCAGGAGCAATGAACAGGAGAAGCACACAGGATTTTTATGGCAATGAAAATACTCTGTATGATACCATAATGATGGGTACATGTCATTATACATTTGACCAAATCCATAAAATGTGCAACACCGAATGAGCTCACATGTAAGTTATGGTTTTGGGGTGATTATGATGTATTAGTGTAAGTTTATCAATTGGAATATTAATTATGGGAGAAGCTATGTATGTTTGTAGATTGGGAGTCTATAGGAAAACTCTTTACCTTTCCCTCAATTTTCCTGTGAAACCAAAACATGCTTTATTTATTTCTATACCACATGCCCTTTCAAAAAGAGTATGCCGTTTACTCATTCATTATAGTTTCAGTTACTTCCCTTCTAGAAGCAAGCTCCAAGAAGAGATGGATGTCTGTCTGTTTTACATGTTGTGAGATATTAGAAAATTTCTGCCACATAGCAGACATTCAATGCACACTTGTTGCAAGAATCTATGACCTTTCTTTTTCCAAAATAAAATATTATTTCTCAAATTTTTGGTTCTATTACAGAGTTGAATTTGCTGAGTTGGTACACCAATACAAACTTACTTACCAGCACATCCACTCCTAATTTTTAAATAGATTTTACTTTTGACACAGTTTATGAATTGTGAGTGTCTCTTTGGGTTCAATATTTGATCTTTATAATTCATTATTTATAATTATATATGAATTACCTCAAAGCAGTGTTAATTATGTATGCATAATTTATCTGGAATGGAAAACTTTAAGTGGTGTAATTAATGTCAGAGTTTTATTTTTAAATTTTGCCTCTTACTCTACACTTTCTTCCTGGTAAACCCCAGCAATATTAAAGCTTTAGTTACTTTATTTCTGTCAATGAATCTAATAATTATTACTCCAACCCATTGCTTTCTTGTTAAAAAAAAACACACAACTGTTTAAAATCCTATCTAATAAAGAAGGAATATGCTAATTGACCTCATGCTGTTGAAAAGATGGTGGTGCCCACAGACAATAAGGAGGGAATATGCCAATTGACTGTCCTGCCCACAAATTGGTGGCGCTCAGTCCCATCAGCCCTGCCAGGGTGACTGGTGCATGGCAAAGCCGAGCCTGCCCTCAGGCAGGCCCAGCCACTTTGCATACCTGCCTCCAAAGTTCGCCAGTCTCCTCAGTCCCCCAGAAGCCCAGAGCCAGCATGAGGCACAGGGCCACCTGAGGCTCAGGTAACCAGGGCCAATCAAGACTTGCACTGTGGGCAGTGGCAACAGCAGAGATGTGATGGGGCCTTGTCTTCCCCTGATCACCAGGTCACCTCTTACCCCTGAGGGCTCCCAGACTGTGAGAGGGAGTAGGCCAGGCTGACAAACTTCCCCTCCAGTGCATGATTTTCATGCACTGGGCCTCTAGTCCTACATAATAAAAGAGTGATATGCAAATTAACCATCACTCTGCTATACCCACAAGCCATGCTCACCAGCCACACCCACCAGCCAATCAGAGTGAGTATGCAAATAAACCGAATCAAGTTGGCTACAGTCACTGAGAGCAGGAGGGAGGCTTGGGTTTCCCAGGCAATGAAAGAAGCAAAGCTTTTTGCACATACTAGCTGGCCCAGGCCTCCACTCAAGGCTACAAAGTTTCAATTATAGAAGGTAAACAAATCCAAACAGAAATGGCTGCCACCACTGAGCAAGCAGGAGGCTTAGTCCACTTAAGGCTACAAAGTTTCAATTGTAGCAGATAAATAAACCCCAGATACCAGGGCCTTCACTTGGGTCA